GTTTATTATTAGGGGGAAGCAATTAAGGCTTCCTAGACGTGTGGAACACGCCTATGAGGTTCCCATACCCTGCCCGCAGGCCTGCACAAGGCTCGTGGAATGCCAGTACAACCTCTTGCTTTAGGGGCAATAATTCATGAGCGATCGATTACAAACTTAGGGAACAGGCCAGCAACTCCATGAGAACATGCAAGTTTCGGTCCCAAAGTCACTTCAAGCTTAATTTAGGGTTTGTCGCCTACAGGGCTGCGCGCAGCTAGTTGATATGAAGTTTTGAATGGACAGACTAAAAATGTGGGGTTTGGAAGAGTTTCACGGACCCCCTGCCCCTGCTACTGTACAGGTCAGGCCCAGGCTGACCACCAGACGTTTTTCAGGTTGTTGCGCACCTCGCAAGCAGGGCGGAAGCTGTTTTCCCAGATTCATATCATGTGTAGTACTTCAGTGCCCTCTGTTTGCGCCGTGATCTCAATGGTCATTTCGGGTTTTGGGTTAGGCCGAGCACTGTCGGCAAGGACCAAATTGCGACAACTAATGTTGGGTACCATCCAAATTTACTTCTTGCGCGGTTTCAGCCTCAAGCAGCCTTTGTCTTTCCAAAGCAGCTGCTCAGGTCTCTGTGATCCACGCGGATAGCTGGCAACAGCACTTGGAAACTATTTGGGACGTCCGTGCAAGGCAGGAGATCATTTGGCCTTGCATCGCTTTGCTTGTGGTGCGAAAACGCGAATTCTGCAACAGCTGAGGCAGGTTTACATGAATGATGCAAGTTGTCATTCCGTGGACAGGCACGGGAGTGCTCGCGTCGAGTCTATGGGGAAGACATGGCTGGTGCCTCAGAAGCTTGCCGCTGGTCCGATATTGCGTGTAAATAGTTTGTTGGGCTTTGCCACTGCCAGGTTTCATATGGTTACCTCCCAAATGGTCACGGGCCAAGCGAGTACAAAGCAATTTGCAATTCTTTGTACCTTGATCGTTTGTGTATGTATGTGTTTGTCCCCCCAGGGGGGGGGGGGGGGCAGGTCGGCCCCAAAATTGTGTGACACTTCATCTCTCTCATGGACTGCTTGTGCTTGGACAGGCATGCCATTATGCCTTTCAAGCCCAGGCAGGGGCACCGGCATGACCCTGTTTGTTAAACAATTCACTCATGTCATGCTGGGAAAGCCTTGGCAGCTGGATGGAAAGGCATCAGTGGAGGTCCTTCTCCACAATGCGACACGGCAGCAATTAATCCTTCCAAACCTACAGCGATTGGGGTGGCATGCTTCACAAGGACTGCAGCAACAATATCTCAGGTCTCGATTCGACTTTGTCGTGGTGGATATTTTGTTGGGACCGTGCCGGACGCATCGAGGCTAGCAGGGTGAGAGTTGATGTTCACACTGAATTCATGTTGGTGTTGCTTGTGTTTTATTTACGTTTCTGAATGCGCTTGACTTGCCCCCGCAGAATTATCGCAATGGCACGCGCCCATGGTGTGGCGATGGCCTCAATGTTAACCATAAAATCTTCAATCATTTGTTCGGACTTGTGATTTGTGATTTCATGTTCACATTGCGCATCGGGGCTTCTTGTGCAGTGCGGCTTGAGCTTCATGTCAACTAGAGCATTGGATTGGTCATACATGCTGGCATCACAAAGGACCAGTCGTCCAACGTCGTGAACGACAGGCTTTTCCAGATCAGTTTCAGCCAGGAGGATTGCTAGAAGCCGCAAGGTAACGTAGGTACGTCATTCGCAAAATCACAGGAATGGCAAAAAGTCGAAGCGTCATCGGATTTGTGGCAGCAGAAACGTGCCAATGTGGATCCTCGCGCTTTTGGTGTGATGTACACGTCGCCAGCTTGCAAGGCAGTCAAATTGTTTTTGGAGAACTATTTGCTGGAAGTTTGTCCATCAGCGCCCATTTTGCTGATGTATGTTCTTTCAACGTTGCTTCGATTGGTGTTGGACAAGCTCAGTCAGAGGGGGGCAGCCAGTAGACATGAAGCACTTGAATGACAAAGAAAATCTGCTGTCCATGAGCCAAATTAAACAAAAACGATCAAGCGCACTTCATTCTTAGGGGTCCTGAACCTGGGCAACCAACTCCAGCACATAGACAAGGCATAAATTGTCCCTTGCATTTAGCGCTTCCCCGAATCCGTCTGAATTGATGTGGGGCATCAATTTGTGTCCCTGGGCCTTAGTCAGCGAAGCTTGGAATGAAGCTCTTAGAAATATGCTGGGATGATCAGCGGAGGTTTCGCTTGGCGGATGCTGTCGATGCTTTTTGGCTGCACAACCGGCTTCGGGCATCCAATGACAATTGCACACAGAGAACGTTGATTTGCCCATGTGGCGAGACAAGGCCTGTGCCGAACCTTTGGTGCATTTCCCAAGCTTCATTTCCTTGGCGAAGCGCCATGTGCCTTGGCTGTCATGACTGAAAATGCCATGCCGTTGAACGTGCTTGAGCCTATGCGATGCAATCTTGAGCTAGAGGAGATCTTTGCAAGGGTGCGAGGGCATGACAAAACAATCAAAGGGAACAGCAACTTGCTTTGCCAGGGTTTGGAGCTTTGCTTGGGACCCACGCCGCTTACAGATCTTGCGCTCGCAAGCGACATGAAGGCCGGTTTGAGACCAGATGAAAGCATTTTTGGTGCACCGTTGCAAAAGTTTGCGTTTGCAGGCAGGACTCGGTCGCTTGCGAAGGATCTATGCCTTCGGAGGCTAGAAGGATAGCCAAAGCAGGGTTATCAAATGTTGGAATTATCTTTCCATTGAGATGTTGAAATTTTTGGTGGTTTTGCGTGGCAGAGCTCCCAAGCTGACTTGGTGTCACCCCGGCAATTTGGCAGGCGGTATGGCTTTGGATTCCGAAGAAGTGCCTTCGATGCAACCATGTGGGATTTGATACACCGAACCTGTGCATGCTGACTCTGTTCATTGGAAGGCCATGGAGCAAAAAGAGGCTTCTGGTCTATACGTGGCGTTTGCATTCCGCAAAGAGGCAATTGGAGGGCTGAGTGCTTTTTTGAAACATGTAGCGATATCGGAATACTGCTGGCTAGGCAGAAAGTCATGCGAGCGAGTAGCTACTCGGTCGGCTACCTGTCAGGCTGGTGGCGACATTCCTGGATGCCAAGAAGTTTCTGATGGTGAAAAACTCAGCCCAGATTTACATCATCGCAATAATGTCAATGCCACCACAGGTTTCAAATCACTGCGCGGAAGGCCAAAGCTGCCAGAAGTTGCAGGCAAAGAAGGGCCTTTCATCGCTCGATCAGATTTGCTGTTTGTGTTGCATGCGGTTGCTGCTGCTGTTTGAATGCAACGTTGAGGTGTTACGACAGCATTAAGCCCCTAGCATTCCATGGCTTCAGGCGACATTGTGAGTTGCGTAGAGAGTCAGACCTGCGAAGCCGGCTCGCAGGGCAAAAAAGTGCGGACGTGATGTGTGGATCGAGCACACTTGCCAACACGATCAATCCCGCTGTTGAGAATCATTGTGTTCAGTCAGTTTTTCTTGATTTTAGACCTGAGTGCACGGGGAGTACTTGCTTTCCATGTTCCATGTCTTGTTTTGTTTTTGTGGCTCTTTAGGGTTCTTTGCCCCCTTTTGGCCACGCGGGGCAGAGAGGCGGGACTTGCAGCCCGCATGCTGTGCTAGGAGCTCAGAAAAATGGCAGACCACCCGGTAGTCGTGTGACGTTTCAAATTAGGACGCGCTGCTTAGGAGACATGGCAGTCGCATCCTGCAAGGTTTGCTTATTGTTGTGTTTGGACAGACGGAGCTGCAACATGTTCCGAGGTTAACGTCCAAGCGCGGAAGGCGCATGGTTGTAGAGCATGTGGAGACAGTTTTAGGAGCAGAAGTGTTGAGTTCTGATCCAGTCCATGTCACTGGTCACACTGTGATGATCGTGATTTTGCCCTTGAACCTCAGGCACTCTCTCTAAAGGAGACACCTCCGGGCTACCATGCATAAGTACAGGCACGGTGCTCGGCTTCAAGTGGAGCATGGCCGTGCCAATTCGAGTTTCATTGTCACACTAAGCTTAGTTTCTGGGAGTTCGCAGTAGTTACCGGTCGTTGTCGTTTACAGACGCTTTTTGCGGGTCAGCAGCTGACTCGGATGCGTTTCTGGAGCCCTCCCCACGTAATTGATTTACAGGTACCAGCGATCCCTACCTCCTGACCTTCAAAAGGCCCACCCGCAACGCCAGAACAAGATTTAATTTCGTAGAGTCGTAGAGTCCTGCAAGTAAAAGCGGGTCAGCTTTTGTGGCCCCTCTTCTCAAGTGTCAATGCTTTGGACCGCAAGGTTGATTTCAAAAAAGGGCGAGGGCACTTTCTCAGAGGTGCTGAAGGCTTCGGCACAGCATTGTGCTTGCGGCAGCTGCCATTGACATTTGCAATCTTGTCAGGCGCAGTCCATCAAGTCAGGGAAGCATGTAGCAATCAAGTGTCGCTTGGCTGCAAACAGTGGAGCTTGTAGATTCTGATGCTGCGGTGATGAGCTCGGGCTTGGAAGCCCAAGCCACATCAAATCCGAGAACATCGCGGGCACATGAAATTGCAGTTCAGCGAGGTAGTTGAGCATACTCAGCCGTTGGGCAGTATGCGTTTCAACTCCGTGGCGCTCAGGCATGAAGAATCATTTCGACAGCATAGACCAAGTTAACAACTTGCGCGAGATCCAGGCGATTCTGTAGGACTGACGCATAACATGTGTTATCGTTTCAGTGTTTTTTCTTTTTTCGGACTTCTCGTCATCCAGAGCATGGTGTTCTGAAGCCTCAGACTTCCAGCTAGCAGAAGATGTTTGGCTGATAAGACGGGGTATGATGCAATTTGGGATCGTTTTCCGGAGGCGTGCAGGTAAGCATGATGGTTCTTGGGGTAGGGCCGCAGGCGGTTCGCTGATTTCTGACATTCAGCGCGTTGGCTCTCGGCCAAGACATCACGTGCTGGAGTTTCAGAAGCCTTCACTTATTCATGGGGACTAATTAAGCTCTTTCTGAGCATGACCTTGCTTCTTGACAGGCGCTTCGTCGCTTAGCGGGACATCCCAACATAATCAAGCTCCACGAGGCTCGAATGTGGGTTGAGATGTTGCTCGCAGAGCCACCTGTGCACCAAGTACTCGTAGATGCAAAATCAATCCCGTTTCGTTGGATTGATGCTACCCGTCCTGTTTGAGAGCATGCTTCTTGAGCGCATGCCTTTGCAGCTACGCAGGCTCGAGCGAGCATGCACTCACGCTCTACTTATCAATTACATAGGTTCTGCTGCGTTCGAGACTAGGGCTTCACATACGATGGCCGCAAAGCTCAATGAGCACGTCATTTGCCTAAAGAGCAAGTTTCTTGCTGCCACTGCTGCTACAGTTAAGGTTTCAATCCAAACTGGCGTGGGGCTGGCTGCGTCGTTCGTAGCCACTGGCCTGCTCTACAGTCAAAGCGTAGGTACTTTCGTCACGAGTCGCTAAGCGTTTGCTGGTTGAGGCAGATTTTTCTCATGACGTTGCAAGCTTTAGTGGGCTGTGCTGTGAAGTTACCACGATCTGCCACGCACTGCATGTTCAAACGCAGAGGCAGTCGCGCTTGCACTTCGAGATGTTTTGCGCCCCAAAGGCAATGCAGTCGCGCCTCTCTGCTCAGCTTGGCTCATGAGTGTGATTTATCCAAGCACCTGCCAGTACGAGCATGAAGTCTTGGCATGCCAAACAGCCTGTCACACCTGAGGATTGCTTTGCTGAGCATTGTTTGGTATTGGACAAGTGCGGTGTGGGCTGCAGTGACCAAGGATCAACATGTCAAGTACCTGTGTCGGCTAAAGAGATGTTCAGACCTTGATGCTGCGAAGGCATATTGAAAAAAACGTCTGAACTGCATATATAGCTAGCCGGCGCTAGCGCCAACGATTTGCGAGGACATCCTGGCCGACATTGGGGTCGCCCTTGTGTATCCCTCCACCAGCATTTGGTTGACATTTGTTCCGCAGGCTGTACTGCCTTGCATGCCAACCGGAGTTTTCTTGAAATGAACCACTGCAAATCTTTGCATTGTGTGAGGCGCTTACTTATGTTTTGGTGCAAATCTTTGCATGGCTTGGGGGCCTCAGCATATTTGAAGGACCGCTGAAGACGAATAATACCAACTCTGGCTGGGTTTGCGCAGCCCAAGATAGGCTACCGTGAGTCAAACCCCGTGTCAGGAACATTTTCGCGCTCCAAAAGCGGCAACGTGGCAGGAGATTAAAAGACTGAGACGCCGTCAGCTTTCAGCACGCATGTCCTGGATCGCAGCAAGTTTGAGACTGGAGTGCATAGCTAGTCGAAGCCGATGGTTTTGATGCATCACTTGCTTCATAAGCAGCCTGAACAACAGTTGTGCTGACAGAGTCCTGGAGTGAAGCGAAGCATCGTATTTGCCCTGATGGCCGGCTTCCAGGCATGAGTTTTGGCATTTGGCAGCTCGCCGGTTCCGCGTACCTTGGCCGGCACAGTTGACATAGCAGCATCACAGGCCCGTGCTGAAAGACACTCAAGCTCCCAGGTATTTTTATGGTCAGCTGTTCACCGTGGCAGCATTGGCGCTTGATGCGCCCAGTCTTTCGGACCAGCAGCATGATCTCCACCTGTGTTTGCTCTCCCTTTCCTGATTGATTTCGCTAAGTCAACACGCTCAATTTTCTGAGGTATTGTCTTCGTAGTGAAAGCAATCGAGCCACTGAGCACAGCGCTTCTGGCCATACCAGTGTTGCGGCAAAGCTTTCAGCCGCAGCTCTTCTTGGCTATCGTTGTCGTGTCTCGGCACGAAGCTTCGTTTGTTGTGCAATCTTGTCCGGTCTGTCCGCGGATGAGTCTAAGAGCTCTAGAAGGAGTGAGCATAGCGGTAGCAAACACAGCGGGTTCGATTGACAGAGCGATCAGGCCTGCAGTGGCATCATGATTACAGCCTGGGGCGCGCATGGGGGCGCCAGCGTGATGCTTGTTTGCAAAATGATTACGAATTCAATTGCACCTGCCGGTGCTCGGCTTTTGTAATCATTTTCGCTCAGTTTGTGAATAAGCCAACCCTACACAAGCAACCACACAAACTGGCAGATTGGAAAAGCCGTCGTACGGTTGCCATGCTGTTGAGACAGTCTTTCCCGCGATCCAAGTTTTGTGAATATGGCAGTGGTTGAACCCTGTTAGGGCGGGCAGCAGCGCCTACGTGGCTATGTCCATGGGCATGTTGGCCAACATCGGCTTCTCCTGCCGTGCCTGCGTGGCGAAGAGGGCGCATCGCTAAGAGGGCAGCAGCAGAGGTACGAGCCATGTGTAGCTGGCGGGGAAGACAGAGAGCGATGCTAAGGACAAGCTTGACAAACAATTCGACCTGAATAGACAAACTACTCATATGATCAATCTCCTTGTACAAGGCCAGCTACAAATAAAATAACTGCAACTGGCAGACTGATTAGCAAGCTTCAAGTGACGACATGTAGGCTTCGATGCTATCACACCACCTGCAAACCCAGCCACCACGACCAATGGGGGGGACGGCGGCGGCGCCGGCGGTGGCGGCTGCAGCAGCAGCAGCCGCAGCAGCAGCTCTAGCACTATAGAAACACTATCAGCAACAACAAGGACAGGAACAACAGACACCAGCGGTGACAGGAACTCCCACCTCAAGTAGAACACGATTACGCAACACCTTCTGAGACACTGACTGACGGCTCCACAGAAGCAAAGACATCCACCGGAGCCACACTATGGCCGGAAGCGGAATCAACGTGAAGCACTTAGCAGCACAGCAGAGCTTCCGCCGCCGCCGCCACCACCACCA